ACTCCTATAAGCTAGAGCTCCCGTCCTCCTACCGTATCTCACCAGTGCTACACGCAGACCGGCTACGTAAGGCAGATAACAATCCTCTCCCTGGCCAGATCCCTACTCCACCTCCTGCAGTTGAAGTCGACGGAGACCTCGAGTGGGAAGTTGTGGAACAGACACTTCATGAAGAGATCGAGCTCAAAGCGGATGATGAAAGTTTAGGAAATGGACTTGTCTTGCTCTGAGCCTAGGCGAGTGTCAAGAAATCGTGGCCGAAGGCACGAACCTCCCCTAAGTATTTCTACTTGCACTCTACCCCCATGATTAACCAAAAGCTCTAAGTCTACCAATTTTGATACTCACCAAGAGCTATTCATCTTTCGGAGCACCCAGATGACAATAGAGCAACCACTCAAGAGACCAGGAAAACAAGGCAACACGCATTATAATGCTGTCGGCTTGATCTTATTACTGTGCTGCTGCTGTTTTTTTTTTTTTCTTCTTATCAGATATAAGAGCATGTTAAGTCTTTTAGAGGGGGGGGTAATGTCATGGCTGCTATACTTATCGCCCGCTAGCGCTAGGGCGCTAGGTATTGATTAGTACTAGACGTTAGTAAGGGGCATGCTTGCTATATAGAAGCAACCCTAGGGCCCTTACCGTCGACTCTTCAGTCTTAGGATAGCACTCAACATGGGCTGAAGATCTCGCGTACTTATTGCCTGCTTCTAACGTGACATGTGACAGTATCTAAGGTCCTTTATAAGCTTTTTACAGTTATCCTTAAGCTCCTGTATAGTTACGCTCTTAATATAAATCTAGCAAAGATCACTCAAAATATTCACTTCTTCCTTTTTGTATCCTGAAGTTCTGAACCTTTTCTTTATAGCTTTAATAGTATACTAGTTGCAGCTTTATAATATAACTTTAGGTAGCGCCTTAGAGAGAGCAGAAATTAAGCTACTAGCTTAGTCACTAATAATAACTTAATAAGAAGGGATATTATCCTCAGATTTGAAGCATTTACAAGTAAGGTAATTAAAGAAGAATTTGAATGACTCCTTGCTCTTTAAAAAGTAATAGCTAAACGCTATAAGGAAGATTGACTCTGAATTCGTTATATTAATAATAGTAAGAAAAGAGAGGTAAAGTTTATTTGTATTAAAGATATTATTAATAATAAGAACTTAATTAATAACAAATTTTTAAGTTATAAAAAGCTATTTTAAATAAGTAAACTAGATTTAAGTAAATTGCTAAGCTATTAGTTTATTTTTAATACTATATTTAGTATTAATATATTAATAATAGATAAATTCAGCATTATTAAGAGCTTTAAGGAGGCCTTAAATTAATTCAGAATCTCTTTTATCTATAAACTAATTTTAAATAAGATTATAGTACTTTTTAGCGCTTAAAAAAATACTAAAATCCTTACTCTTAAGAATCTAATAGCTCTTAGAGTAAAGTATAATATTCTTATAATGCTTTTAAGCAAGAGTAACAAGTTAATAATACTTAGGGAGCAGATTCTGGTTCTCTATATAAATTAAAGGATTCTTTATAAGGTGATAAGAATAAGATAGCTCTAGAGCAACAAGGCAAAAGCCCTTAACGCTAGAGCTGCGCTTGCTAACGTTCTTAAAGGAACAAAATACGTACCAAATATACCCTTTTTGCTTTATATACGTTGCATCTCGCTACCGGTTACTGATTATCTTGCCCTCAGGATCCTTCTGCGTTCGATGCTCCAGCTCTCTGTAATTTCGAGTCTCCTCATCATGATGAATACACTGAAAACGCCTACAAGGGTTTCTAGGGTCTCTATGGCCTTGAATCGTTATAGCAAAGCCCTCCGCCATAGCGAATACATTCAAACGCTCCTGGCACTGTTCAAAAGAGTCGAAAACTTCACCTTTGGGAGCAGGAGGAAGGCGCCAGGCAGGGTCTCTATCATTAACGAAGCTCTTAATAGCATCACGGAGGTGCACAGGGCACCCAGCCTTTGCTTGCCAGGGCAGAGCCATTGCAGAGACTCAACACCAAGATATCTATATCAATGCCTATCTGAGAAGCAACAGCAGCATCAAATCACACAAATGGTGGTGATAGAAAGATTTTCAGGAACACTACATACAAATTACTATGGTACGGTCACATTTAGGCCGCTCGGCGTGCCGGAACGCCGATATGCCGAATCCGCAGAAATCGAATCTGGCTGTCGAATCTGGCTGCCCTGAGACAACCCCGACAACTAACCCTGATGATCCACCTAAACCGTGCGACTACTTTGACATGATTGGAGGAACAGGTACTGGTGGGTATGTTTTCCCCCTTAGAATATAGAAGCATACAGTTGACTTACTGATGACTCAATCAGATTGATAGCAGTTATGTTGCGTCGTTTAGAGATGACTATTGACGACTGCATTGAGGCTTATGTTCGTCTCGCTGATCGGATTTTTAAGAAGCCTGGACAACGACTAGCCAACTGGAACGGTCCGGTTAAAAGCATATTTAACACTAAAGCATTGGAACAAGAATTCAAAGCAATTGTTCGCAAACAGACAGACACAGAGAACACTCTCTTTGAAAATGAGGAGAATGAATCATGCAAAGTGTAAGTCAAGTCCTTTCTACTGACCTAGAATTCTATTAATAAATAACGCTGATTTCAGTTTTGTATGTGCAACACGAATCGAAAATGCAAGACCTATGCAATTTAAAAGCTATCCATCTCGGACGTCCTCTGATCTTTTACACTCTGCTCGAATCTGGGAGGTCGCTCGAGCTACTTCTGCTACCCCCTTATTCTTTGATCCGATCAAGATCGGCCGTTTCGGTGAGGGGTTTACTGGTGGAAGGCCAGATATAGACAACCCAATACAAACAGTCTGGAATGAGGCCCAACACGTCTTTTTACGCGAAGAAATGATGCTGAAAGGTAATCTTAAGTGTCTGGTCTCAATTGGCACAGGCGAACCATCACTTGAGGCTTTTGGTGGCAACCTACGAGCAGTAGGGCTCAGTATAGGAAGAATGGCAATATATTCGCGAATTGTAGCACACTCATTCCAAAGCGCGCATGGAGAGCTTGTACGCAACCATCAGTACTTTCGTTTCAACATAGACCAGGGGTTGGAGGACATAGGACTGGAGCATTCCACACGAGCCGGCGACATCATGAAAGCGACCAGAAATTACCTGCAGTCTGCGGAGTTGAGTTCACAGATACAGGCGTGTGCAGGGAGACTAAAAGCTGGAAGGAGAGGACGTCGGCCTCGAAGCCTCTCCTCTCCCTGTGCCGTTTCAATTCTCGGTCAGAGCTCTCTATCAGCCCCTCCACGTAAAGAAGGTCAGACGTTGCAGCCTCCCCCAACTGGTTCATCTAGGCAGCCGACTGTGCGTCTGGAGGACTCAAGACATAATGATGTTCAAGAGGACATCAGGAGTGGGATTAAGGCAGCTTTTAACGGCAGTCCACATGGACCTTTCGATCCAGGCCGATTTTGCACTGCATCTTTTCATGTTTCGTTGAGACTGGAGGCTTTTCTCGACTGGTATTGCGAAGCTGATCCCTGTCGGGATCTCGAGGCTGTTCTTACCCTTACTGGTTCTGCAATCGACGCACAGGCAGTTACGTGTAAGCAGTACATGAAACAGACATGGCCTTCCAGTGGAATCGATACACTCCGAGCTGTGAAAAAGGCTCTAGCTCAAGCTAAAGCCAATAGCTCACCTAGCCCTTATGAATGTAAAGTTCCACTCCTTGAAGCCTTTACTGAAGTAGTACACCAAACTAACATATCCAGGCACACTGTCTGATGGTAGTGGCTTCGAATGCTCTGTTAGCGATTCCCATCTCCAGGTTTTTGCAAGTGGTATGCAAGCCTCTCTGGTCGAGATTGGGGAGCAGCTCGCATGGCTTGGTGCTGCTCTACAAAGGTCTCCAAATACTACAAAGATGGCCTACACGACTGCACGAGTCGTAGATCTAAGATCCACATCATCTCAAGAGACTACGTCCGCCCAAGCCCTGGCCATAAGTATGAAGATTCACTTTTTGACTGATGTCCTTGATGAGGCTACTCTTGGACTGGCCCACAGAGGATGCTGCTGGCATTTATTATTTCATAAACCTGTCATTGTTCAGGGTTATCCAATATCGCCTCGTACGCATAATGAAAAAGGACTGGAGATTTCCTTGGATCTAATGGCCGGGTTGGGTAACGCAAATTATCTGACTGAATTTCATGGTATTCCTGTCTTGAAAGGCTTCTTTACAATGTTTGTCGCTACAGTATGTTCTGACGATTCACTGGTCTGGCACTTCCTGTGCAGCAAGAATGAAAAGCGAATATCTTATTCGGAGGCGGTGAAATACCACCCAGATGGAATTACTGGCCCTAAGCCTGAAAATCCGAATGGGGAAGCCATCAGACATTTCGTCGGTTGGGCTCCATCAGTGAGAAGACTCGCTGGTAAGTCGAGAGAAATCAGAGCGATTGATCCCAGCCAAGGTAATACAGGAAGTGTGTTGCTAACGGGTTTCATTTTTAAAGGTACTTTCGACGCCGATTACGACCATATAGAACGGAGTAGATCGGGATATTGCTCCGCAGGATGTGTATTGCAGAACCTGTCATTCACTGCAGGAAGGTATATCACATTCAGCGGCACGATCGGACCAGGAATCAGGAATCGACGGCTTATTACTTTAGGAGATCGCGGGTACGTCGAAGCCGTGAATTATGCCCGTCAGAACATTTATATCAATCTATATGATGTCGAAGAGCGCCGTGGCTGGCTATTTGATGGGGCAAGCGTGGTGCTTCATCTTTCACGCACTCAGCTCTCACATAACGCAAGTCCTCTCAGTAGAGGTCTAGTGTTAGAATTGCAAGCTCTTCACCTGGCTACCGGCGATGGTGGAGCGGAGGCTGCGATTGCCGCATTAACAGATGCACGCAATATGCACCTTGAAATAGCTGATGACCTTCTCGAAAGCAGGATCGAAGAAACGATAACAGAGGGTGGGGCAGCAAGCAGAGACACCAAAAAAACGGGCAAAAGGATGCTTTTTCATGAGCTAGTGAAGCGTAATTTGTGCCTTTCCGAGAAAATGAGTGAGCACCAGAAAGATCTAACGGAATCGAATGGTATAATAAACCTCCAAGGCATCAGCTCTCACAAACTCGAAGGCTGGGATTTCCTCGATCTCGTCAGCCGTACAACGTCATTGCAACCCCGTTTTCATTGTTTGATGCCGTCCGGCAGAAGTTGGGTAAACTTCACTAGATGCGTTAATACGATTAACCTTCTTGGCCGGAAGTTTGGACCCCTGATTCAGCCTTCGCGCGATGCCATCCCACTTTGCGATAAATGGAAGCAAGTTCCTCTAGGTCAAGACTTCCTCGCAACATGCGTATCAACAGTGGATGAGATCTGCCAAAAATGGGGAGACAAAGAAGCCAACCCTTTCCAGCTTGTACAAGGAATCTACTGGCACAAGACACACCTTCTTTTTGAGAGATGTTAATGCATTCCGAGTGGGAAGTATGTTTGTGACCGAGCGCAAGTTCTTCTACCTGAAATCCCCTGGCAAAAAATTCGTGTGGATCCATTTCAACATGGAGAAGGAGCTGTTATATTTGGTCGAGGCAGCGGACGCCCTCCACTAAGGGAAGACATTCGTAAAATGCTAGTGAAAAATTTGCGAGCCGGAAGGCAATCGTCGTCGCAGAATAGGGGGAGCACTCCCCCCAATTCTGCTTCGCAAATTCGCACTCCCGGAACAAGCCCTAGGATGTCATTGCAGAATGGCGAGAGGCATTCCTTCAATGACGTTTCGCAGAATGTCAGTGCTGTTAACCACTCCAACGCAATCCAGCTTGGTGGAGATAGACCTAATCTTCAAAGCCACGGTCAGTTCACCCATCAACCTACCCATCAACCCGCCCGTCAACACGACAGTCCACCCCAGCGCCAACACGATTGTCCACCCGCCCGCGACCTTCAATCTACCCGTCGACTCGACCGTCAGAATGGGACAATTGGGTCGTCGCTCTGCAATCTGAAGACTGGACGGATGGCGAAGCAGAAAGAGGACTGAGACGATCGTAAGTCTTGAGAGCTTGCAAAAAGCTTGAAAAGATAGAAAGGCAACAATCGTGATCCCCTGGTGAGCAGAACCAGGTGAAAGCGCGAAATGGGATTTGTCTCTGCACCAACTGGCTATGTCTCGTTGGCGATGGTCTTGGTCTTGGCCGGTTCCCTGGAGCCAGCGTTCGGAGCCAGCGTTCGGAGACAGCACAACAGGACGGCACAACAGGACGGCACAAGAGGGTCTGTACCGTACCATTCTAACCAGAAGCACTATCTGTACCGTTGGTACAGACAGTGCTAGCGACAGGAACTGAGGAACGAAGGATGAGGATCTATAGATTTCTTAATTCGGTTAGATCGCAGTTGAGAAAGAAACTTATAGTATTGGCAATCTGCTGCTGCGACTGAGCTTATCGACGCTATAGCCCTATCTTATATTACTCGTTTAGACACTCCGTGGCCTTAATAATATTCTTACTAAGCTTGTTTTAATCTGTAAGGTAGTGAGCTTAGTACCACTAAAAACGCGTTATATTTCAGTAGCGAAATTAGAAGAAACACTGATCAATCAAGAGCAGGTGAACCGCAAGGGTTATGCATAGAAATTCTAACCAACTTGAATAAGCACTTGTATAGTTCGACAAATGTCTATTCTACTTGGCAACGAATAAGGTGCAACAGACCCCCCTTATTATGCCACTGGCATAATATCGAGAAGAGACCTCTGGAACCAAAGTGTTGTGTAAGTCTGATTCTCTACCTACTGGTCGGCTTACCGCCATATGACCGTGTTGGCTAGTGCCAACTAACTAACTGTTGCTATGGTACCGGTTGGGTACCGGTAGCCAGGAGGGCTGTCATCTCCTGTGAGCCTGACACCCCTCCTTTCTCAATTCTCAACACTAAGCCATCTATATCTACTACTTATTTCGGTACTGGTATAGTCACAGCGGTACAAAGGGCCTCGTCTTGTACCGTTGGAAATGAATACCAAGCCTTTTGAGTTGCATCAACTTCAGCGTTCGACATACTCCACTCAGCATCTCGTCGCAATTTTCATCACAATAAGTGTTCTGCATATTTCACTGCCAGTGACGAAACCGTAACTGATTTTCACTGTTCAATTATCTCTCACCAACATGGGGTGTCCCTCATGATAATGATGACAGGACCTTCAGAGTCTCTCGGGAGGTAGCTGGTAATGCTGCTTGCTGTTCGGCTTCAAGCCCAACGTGCCTCGATTCTACATGACTTTGAGAGCTCCCTTGTGTGAGATGTGACGATATCTCCCGTCAAGGATAGACAACCTTGATCGACTGCACTTCTGTTACAATAAATACTAATTGTGGGCGTAACTGAGTCGGTTCTTGAGCTTCTTATGCTTTCTCTGACCGACATTCCAGCTTCACACTTCAACACCTCAGGGAGTCATCCGAATCAGACATTTCCGAGAGCAGGTATTGCGAAAGAATTACAAACGCTGAAGGGTATGGCGCTCCCGCTGATGCCTTCACTTCTCTTCTCTTTCTCGCAGAAGGACGATATTTCAGTATGCCGGTAAGGGTGAACCCATCATCGAGGGCTCGCGGTCGTCAGAGTCATGTCTATGATGTAAGGCTGATGGACAGGGTCAGAGATGCGTCTGCTACGGGAGTCTTGTATTTCCAGCCAACACCGGAAATCATCAATCCTTCCACCATGAGGACGGGGTGGAATTGACACCAGAGGTCGGCGCGCCTCGATCCTGATCTGACGCGAGTACAAAACTTCCATCACGCGTTGCCGGAGACCGATGGTATGCCGTGGATGATATCAACTCTTAGCTGGACGAAGGGACATCTTATGGTAGTCTGCGCAATGACTCTTGAAAGCCATCGCACTTGGTGAGGCAATTGTTGGGCCAGGAACCACCCATCGACGGTAATGAGCATGGCTAATGGTAATGCACTACAGGCGGCATCATCGAGAGGTGACGAGAAGGTGGTAGAGATGCTACTGGACAAGGAGGCAACGTTCGCCAAAAATGTTATCGTGGACGGCGTTTGCGCTCCCCCAATGTATGTGCCGAAGAAGAGAATACCTAGCGTGGCATTGCGGATAGGTTGACATTGTAGCTCCAGCCACGATTAGTCATTACCCCTCCCCATCGTGCATCTTACGGCTCCCTCACTTGCTTCACCACGAATCCTCCAGAAGACTCGAGTTTGCGGGCACATTTTCAGCATCTTGCCAGATGTCGTGCCGCGGCCCATTGTCAAATTTCGTCGCCGCCTTGGCAAGGTCCCTGCACCAAACTCTTCGCCAAGACAGAGACGAGATCCAACCGCTGGAGAGTCCGCTTTCCGAACGAGCATTCCGACACTCCTGACTGAACTGAGAAGTGAACGAGCCTTCGGCTTTCTCTTCCGGCTTTTCGTAGGGAGGTCCTTCGAATGCTATCGATCTGAATGTTATGGCGAGCAGCACTATCGCCCGGTATGGATTCTCAGCGGCCATCATTGTACGGCATTTCTCGATCCACCGCTTTCTCATATTGTGCATCTTAAACTCCAATTCAGCACGTGCCAATTTCACTTTCCCATGTAGGCGTCCAAGAGACTAGCACTTTCCGGCATCCAGTGGTTGACTCTGTAGCCCATGAGATCACGATACCCATGCCATTTCCTCGTGAGATGTCTTTGGTTGCCTACCTGTGGCGCGCGGCAAGAATGCTCACAGCCTGTACCGTTGCGCAATATCTCTTCAGGCAAAGGCGGCTTGGAAGGCGGTTGGCCTATCCGATTGTCCCCTGACTAGTCTACGTCGCTCTTGACGCCGGCCGGGATCGCTTTTGGGAACCGAGGCGCTGAGGGTTCTGTGGTAGAATTGCTCTAATTAGGTAGTTACATTTGTATGAAAACTTTGTACTCCGTACCATAGTAGATTTGTGCCAATTTCAAGTGTCTCTCCCTTTTCCCTACAACAGAATCTCCGACGATGACAATGTCCAACAAACAGTGCTCATAGCGAGCAGTAATAGCCGTACTTCTAAAGTAGAATGCTGTTATCAAGCATTTGACCGCGGTCTATCTCAGCCCCTCCCAATGGATCTTGCGTCAAGCTGGACCCCTGGACGATTCTGATGCCGTTCTGCGCAAGACACGATCAGCCGGTAAAGTCTCCAGTCGGCCCTACGGGCAAGCACTACGGGCAAGCACTACGAACATTCCCAGGCGCTTACTTCCCTTTCAATACTACGTAAGTATCTTTCTCGGGTCGAAAGCCGACTCCTTGCTTGCTCTGTCTCCACCTGCTTTCCAAATTACAGTAATAGTTTACGCAACGCTCCTGACACTGCCCAACCCTTTCATAATCATACTCGGCTGGCCCGCAATCTCTTACACTTGGACTTCTGCGGAAACTCAAGCTCGACTAAACCTCGAGCCTGTCCCTTATACTTATCGATCCGTGCCTCCTGACTTCAACGTATCTCATATCTCTGTCGACTTCTCCTCGCAGTCCTCTATAACACCACTCTGCCATTCTTTTGGTCTATCTTTTGGCATCTAGGTGACAACGTGGCGAAGTTGCCAGACTTGCACCTAGTAGAAATTGGCGAAGCAAGCAGCCACACTGGCTCTACGCCCATTGTCATCCAGTGGTACCTTATTCCTTGACCCGAGTCTCCTGTAAAGCCCAGCTTAGATCTCTTCGCTGAGTAAGGATCTCTTTACGAGCAAAGGACGAAACCGACGTCAGACAACCTCTATTTTTGACATAAAAGCGCATTATCACCTTCATCGTCTTTTGGCTACTTTGTCCGGCCTCTCAGTCCGATCCCGGCCAGGTTGACCTCTTCACACCCGACTGCGAATGTCAGCACTGTACAGGGGTTTCATACCATTGTTGGTTACAGGCGCGGTACTTGGTGCACCACACTGTGTCGATCAGGCCCAACCCGCTGTAGCTACTGTAACGGTATACAACACTCGAAGCTCACCATCCGGCATGACTTCGAGCCATGCCCATCCTACCACCCACCACAGTTCCAACACAAGCTCCAGCGCTGCACCTGTTGCTAAGTCGGCCGATCCATCCAAGCAAGGCTGTCACTGGCTTGTTCCTGGCGTAGGTTACTTCACGCATAGGTCAAAATTCACGTTTGACGGCACCACTCTTCCGGCAGGTCTCAAGGCCAATGTACACACAGTCGGCGGTAACGCACCATTCAATCGTTGCTTCACGACCTCGAATGTGTACATCGACAATGGCTTTTTGATTCTTCGGGTCCCGGGTGGACAAACAGAATCCCCTATCGAATGTGGAGAAGTCCAAACCACCTTTACCGACATTCTTCATGCTAGCGTCCGTACCCGAGCAATCTTCAGCGAAGTGCCAGGAACCTGTACCGGGATGTTTTTGTACAAAAACGATAACCAAGAGACTGACATCGAGTATCTCTCTGATCCAAAATCTCTCTCCAATAATGGCGTTGGTGCTCCAATACCGTTGCACTACACCAATCAAGCCAGCATGGCTGGAAAAGATGCTACCTATTCGACCGGTCCTGGCTATGATGATATTACCACCACCATCCACGAGTACAGGCTAGATTGGGTCCCCGGGCGCACTTCGTTCTATCTTGATGGCGTTTTGCAGAAATCATTCACAACCAATGTGCCTACCCAAGCTGGCCCTTGGCTATGGAACCATTGGACGAATGGGGATGAAGGATGGTCAGTTGGTCCTCCCGCAGTTGACAGCTTGTTCAGAATCCGGGACATTGTCATGTACTATAACCGGACTAGTATAGAGGGGACTGTGGGCCCTAATGGGATGGGGTGAGATGTTACAAGCAAGCTCGTCTTGGGTCAGCCCAAATGAGCTCGTACTTTGTCCGGTTGCGGACTGACGGTACTGACGAGACGGGCATGTACGAACCTCAAAGGAAAAGACTACATTCTTATCGCACCTAGTCCTTCCGATTGTATTCCTCTTCTAGATGATAACAGAACATGAAGCTGGCTTCATCAAATTTGTTTTTTTCGCCACTTGTACACTTGGCATACTGTTCACGAGTATGACTGTACCAATAGATTGAAAGCCGACCCATACAGCCTCGAATCATGCGCCCCTGCTGTTCCAAGTAGGCCACGTATCAGACCTGCCTCCGTCTCCGAATGCCCAATCCTGCTGATGCATTACCAATAATTCAAGCATTGCGAGCTCAGTTTGTCCTTATCCTTCTATCACTGTTCCAGATCCTGAAGTATATACACCAATTCCTTGTCCGACCCATCCGCCAAATCAAAGGACTCAGAGTGTGGGCAAGATCCTTCTCGGAGACATTCCTCCTGTTGCTTTCGTTTATCCTCCGTTGATCATCGACAGAGGAGAACACTTCTGAGATGTGGATTCGCGGAGAGGTAATGAGTATTGGTCGCAAGTCACCCTCTCTTGTTCTGTTGCGACTTGCACAGGAGATAGCTATGCATACACAGTCGGACATGCATTGCTCAATGTGGTGAGCAGAGCCATATTCCCTTCTAATCCGTACGCTCGATATGAATGCTCAGGGTACTACCCTTCAGATCCTTACTGCAGACCCCCATCATCTCTACGCAGCTCTTCCCACGGCGTCCAATCTCCCTCTTAGGACCTCAGACAGCGGAGGGGTTCCAATTCCGCTCCTTACCCCTACAAACGGGACCAAAATCCAGCCTCAACCTTCTATTCTCCTATTTTCTGCATTTCATCCATCGATGAACGCATTTGGGCTTGCCTTCCTGGATGCAGTAGGCAGATTGCGGTGGAAAGGAGCTTTCCACTCACACAAATCCTGTTTTAAGCCAGGCTGTGCATAATCAGGGAGTAAATTGGGGCCTCGACAAAGCTGCGAAGCAAAAGACGCGGAAGCAAAACAAACGGGTCGACACAATTCGAGAGTGAAGACGCTGTTGCTTGATCCGTCGGCATTTGATTTGCAGCATCTGATGGATGACAAACCAGCGCAGAACATCCAGTACTCCAAAGAGACCAGAAGATTTCCGTTTCTTGTGGCAGGCAACCATATTCCCTCTCTAGACACATAAACGGTGAAAAGGTCGTCGGAGTTCGCCATTGTTGCAACAGCAAACCGTGTCGCTCGTCTTATCTTTAAAAGCAATCGGTTGAGTAGAAGGAGAAGACCGGATCGTAATATCAAGGGCCAGCACACCACAATGTCCTCGCATGAACGGAAGATCAAACAACAGACTGCTCGAGCAAGACCAGCGACAGGATAGCATACTGATCAGGAAGCTGGATGATTATTATTTTGCGTGCATGGCAGGGGGAGTCAGGACACGCAATGATGTTTCCTAATGGCCGTCGAACAGGAGCTTTAACTTTTTATTGTAGGGGGCTCATGAGACAGCGCAGAAATAGAAAGTCAAGATTACCAAGGAGGATTCGAGAGGGAGTGGAATACACCTGTGTAAAAAGAACAAGGATATCGAAACGGTGTCTCTGCGTATCGAAGGGACTGAATCAACGGACCAAGTGTTACTCAATTCTACTGGTCAGGCTGCTGTTCGGGTTCTCCATACTTCGAATTACCAGTGCGGTCTGCAATCCAAAGCACTGTCAGCAGCCCGTCCAAATATATGGTTATTGTAGCTTTACGTAGTAATCTGAATTGTCCGTCCACATTGCGCCTCTAGCTCAATTGGATAGTTTACCACCCCGAGAAAACAACAGGCGCTTGGTCTACAGCCGAACGATCAAAACCAACCCATGGCACCAATTCCAACCTCAGCGTGCCACTCCGAGTTAATCTACCTGCCCCGCTTGACGTACAAGAATCCCGCCATGTCTCTTCACAATCCCAAACCGGTCAAGCTCCATTGGCCCTAATGTCTATTCAGAATAGCGGTCCTGACTGGGAGAACGAGAATAAGAAGAGCGAGATCTCACCTGGGTCACAATTGCCATTAGGTACTATGGTAGGCGGTGGATTCTGCTTTGAGTTATAGCCAGTGGGGTTGGGGGAGGTCTCGACATGTCTCATTCCTTTTTCTTTCCTTTTCGGGGTGAAACGGATACATAGGTGGGACGACAATGTAGTTCTCTTCTTTGAATAGGTGATGCTATTCTTGCTGCTCTCCTTCTCTTCCGACTTGTCCTTTCCGGTGTCAAAGGTCTGGTACCAAGTAAAGAAGTTCCGCGAGTCCAAGATGCCCTCGTGCATCACGTTTGAGGGGCTCGGTGACTAGGTTCTGGGGAGTGCTTGTCAGCGGATCAGCGGGCATCTGAAGACGTTTCGCCATGGTGGTACGAGTTCTTGGATGCTAGAGACTGTCGACTTATGCAATCCTTGGTCTTGGGGAGATATCATTCGCTGGGAGACGATAGATGCAGGAATGAGACATGTTTTCCTTGGCCGTTACTTCAAAAGATATCATACATGACTGCAACGGAGCTGGTGGCTTGGGATTTCGACTAGAATTTTTGTATGGTGCGTCATGTATCAATTCTCAGCCGATCACTGTGGTGTTCCTTTAGTCTGCAAATTGTCGATGTCAGCATGTAAGAGGAGAATAATTGTGGACTTGATATGTTCAGGGCGGGGGCTCCAGCGGAAATCCTCCACTGCCGACTTACCACGAAATCCGCGGATGTTCTGCCCTCCTGCGCTTTTGATCGACCAGAGGTATGCGTAAATCAGAATGGAGGTTACAAGGAAGCCCGACATGTGAATTGCATTTCCAGGATGAGTGCTGATCGACACACTATATGATTTGATCGTATGAAGCGCTGAATGCGGGTGGTATAGGGATGGATGAGTGGCTCGCGCCCAACGACTCAGATTCAGGGCACATGATTTGGGACGCAAGAACGACGATTCCCTAATCATCAAGCGTTGGGGTGTGGGAGAAGACATGAACACAAATATAGGTGTGCTCGCTTTGTCAATCAAGGATGGAGATGTGAGGGTGAGGATCTGGAAAAATCAATATCATCAAGAAAACTCGGGTAGAAAAATAGTAAGTAAATTGAAATCTCTAGAATGGAAGACGAAGGAAACGTTAAACAAAACATACGTAAGATTCTGCGACTGCTTTGACAGAACCATTCTATCGATTGACGTTCAGCTGTCCATGGTATCATTTGCTCCTGCTTTTACCCACTGCAAATGTAATCCCCTGCCGCGATCACTAGCGCCAGCACCGCAAGAGAAAGATTACATTACAATGCAGTCTTTCTCTCTATCCCGTGATCTGCCAGAAGACTGCGAAACGCCCAGGCTATTATTGGTGTGTGGTCTCGTCAAAGGGGGACTGGGTTGAAATTGAGAAGTTTCTTGAAAAGCTGACATCCTCCTTGGAGCAGCTTGTCGTCGCGCAGGCGGGTACACTGGTGTTGAAGGACCTGACGACGGAGAGCGACCATGGAAAGAAGGATGTTGGGGATGACCTGTAGGCGGGAGATAAGGTTTGCCTTTCGCTGCTTCTTCGTATGCTGGAGGTGGAGCTTCGTCTGAACTGGGATCGACGGGTCTAGTAACACCCTGGTTATGTGAATTTCGTGGCGGAATTGCTGGTCGGGTGGCCTCCTGATCTCCTGGCCGGTTTGGATGACCGGTACCTGAACTTCGATTCGTGTCGTTTGCGTTGGAGCGCCGACGAGGGTCATCCAATCGAGCCTCTTCCTCCTCTTGCAGCTGAAGCGCCATGGCAAAATCAGCATCTGCCTGTTGCTGTTGTTCTTGGAAGGAGGCTGGTGACCGAGCTCCCTGAAGTTGACTCGGCTGCTGGGGATCATAACTTGTGGATGAACTATCGAGTGGAGTCTGCTGAGTCTTTGCAGTTGTCTCAAGATTACCAATCGGTCTGAAGTCACCGGAGAAGAACTCGCTATTCTGTCCACTGACATCCACCAGACTCTCCCATATCACCTCATCTCTATCCGAATAGCCAGCATCGGTAACGAGTGTGAACAATTGACCTGATTCTGGATGCTTATAAATAGTGCTGAAGTGATCATTCCTAAACAGTATGGCTAATCCGGCAGGATACAGCGATTCGTAAATGACTTCGAGACCATAAGGCGTGATCTGAGTGGGATACGACTCCAAAAACGACTTGATGGATGAAATGTCCTGCAGGAGCTGTTGCTCCTCAGATGTCAAACCCACCCTGGACAGCTTGTCCTCCAACTCCTCTTCCCTAAACTGGATGGTCTGTGCATCTTCGTATGTCTGAGCCGAACGAGCAAAGGCGGCTCGTGCAGGATCCGATCGAGGCGCAAGCCAGCCGTGAACAAGAGGTATGTTGAAGGCACCGTAGAGACGCATATCGTGGGTATTCTCAAAAATTCCTGGCTTCCTATCGTTATTCAGTGATAAGGGAAGATGCAAAGAAGAATTCCGTGCATCCATCAAATTTGGAGATGGAGTCTCATGGGACGCCAGCCTAGGATTCGCGGTCATGCCAGTATGCAGCCTGAGCAGAAATCCATTCAGCTCATCGACGTCGGGAAGTTCCGTCAACTGGCCACCTCGCCCTTCCGAAGTTAGTTCATCCAGTAGAGACTCGATGATCAGTCCCAGAGAGACTTGCTCTCTCGTTCGTAGGGCAGCGCCCAGTGCCGAATGAGTGTCATTTTCCCCACCAAGAATCAGGGCATTGACAAGGGCAAGGAGAGGACAGGGCCCGTTCTTATTCTGTGTGAGCATTGATGACCTTCGTAGAGTCCGACTGTTGTGATCAAACCAATTGAAATGCTTGATCTGGTAAGTCTCGTTCCGGTGCTCTCTCAACTTGGACATTTCGGCTTCCGTGGTTGCATTCGAATGCTCTCTAAGTCGTGAAGGAGTTGGTGGAGGATCTAGGGACAGCTCTGGCTTCTGAGGTATGGTCCCCTGTGATGGAATGGGCCCCTGGAGGGGGATGTTCGGGTCTCGCTCTGCTGGCAAAAGAACTTTGGCTGTTTGGAGAGCGTCTACAGAGGGGGTAGCGGGCAATTCTTTCTCCAGATTGACGCCGACCGATGACCTAGCATTTCCGCTAACAATGTTATTGTCCTGAGCTGAGCCACCTATAGCATTCCACGGCCACGGGTGCAGCGATTCCGAGCCGGTATCCTCTGACATTTCACTAGCTACAGGTATCAGCGCTGATTGGTGATTGCCAAGGGGGCTCTCAAGGGAGGGAGAACGCAAAGTGGAAGGTTTTAGTTGTGCTCGAGTAGCGCAAAGAGATGTCTGCTCTGGTTCCAGTTCCCGAAATGTACTATTCAAGTTCAGAGTAGAGGGACGGAAAGATGTTGAATATTCCGAGAAAGGTCGGTCCACGAGAGAGAGATTCGCAGTCATCTCAACTGGTGTCTCTAAGAGTAGTCAGTTTTAGTGGCGGTATGAAGTCTATAAGCTCTTCTTACCTGGGGTTGTAGCTTTATGATCGTCAATATCGAACATGAACGCATTGGATGAAGATACTGAGTTCTTTGTGAAGGAAGTGGACGAATTTCCCTGTCGAAAGGGGTTGTTTGAGCGGTGTGGCAATTTCGGAATATTCGGACCAGGAATACTAGGTGATAGAGAAGCGGATATTGGCTCTGGTGTAGACAAAGCGGCCTTGTCGACGTTGGATAAATGCTGCGAACGTCCTGTATTGTCGTGTACATCCTCCTCCCAAAAGTCTCTCGACCTTTCACTGTCCATAGATGACCTGGGTGTAGCCTTCCCACTGCCGCTTAAACATGCCCTCAGTGTGTCTGGAAGCCCAGTATGCATATTCTGTAGGCTCCGAGTTGTACCACCTGCCTGGAGTCTCACCGGCAAAGGCGTTTCGTCTGTACCTCCTTTTGGAGCGGATGGGCCTCCATTGTAGTCAAAATTCACAGCACCGGATGCTGGTTCTTCGCCTTCGAGAATCGGGTTGGGTCTCGGGTGGTGATATGAGCTCGAATATGAGTTTGACGTTGAATTCGACGGCCGTGTCACAGTCTCATACGAGGATGAGGTCAACGAAGCAGGTTCGGAGGCGGGAGAGAGATGAGACGAAGTGGATTCAGATGTGAAAGCGCCTGCAGGTGTAGATTTGCGGACGACCATGTTGAACGAAACAAGACAGCCACCAATACTTGTTCAGAAAAGGCAGCAATTATCGCGGAGGTGCTCGCATGGCTTTGAGCAGGCCAAACCACTACCCCCAGCGCAAAGAGATTGGGCAGTTCTGCTGTTGCCGCGTCATGAGCACGGAAGATTCATCGATTAGTATGAATGTTCAAGCGAGCGAGGTACACAAGCCCATCTGGAGGAAGCGGACAGAAGCACAAGGGCGCGCAATATGGCATTGTATGCAAGCATTTACATGGAGTGCTGCCACGCATACGAATGGTCGAGGGCGGAGACTCTTGCTACGTACACAGTCCTACGTAAAGTTGGAGATGAGGTTAAACCAATTGTGGTTACTCCCACATGGCACAGTCGGATGACGTAAGATGAAACAGGCTGGGGCGGGATTGAAGTCTTTCGCAAGGTATTGCCTGATATTGAAGAGTAACGCCCAACACCACAAAGCGGGCCACCCCACAAAGCGGGCCAATTTCGGGTTAGCAACAACACCAAATTCTACTGCATTAGAGCTGCTATACTCATTCAAATTGGCTAATTTCGATAGAAATAGCTTCTATAGGCCTATTCTAATGTAACAGTACGCAGAATTCGCTTTTCGCCGCCCTCCTTGCGTACGAAATGGACCTTTTTAGGCGCTAGAGCAGCCCTGACCTGTTCGAGATTCCACGACCGCTGCTTTGTCTCTTTTTGTATCCTTTTTGAGCGTTTGGTAAGCTCTTGCTTCAAAGCCAATTGACGTAGCTCTCGGAGCTGCGTTCGAAGCAATTGAGCGCCAGTATGCTCTTGAATAGCGCTGTGGCCAAGCTTTCGTACAGCGCGTCTTGTTTGAGGCGTTGTTTTGGCCTCAATTTGACGAATTAGTGCGCGTAAATTGTCACTCTGCTTTGGAGTGCTATAGAGACCATCTGACGTAGCTGGGGGTTGATACTCAGGCGTAGTACGTCCAAAATTTCGAATTTCAGGGTCATTGAGTAGTTTTTGCTTATTTAGAGGCCAAATTCCTGTATGATGCCATCCAGCACGAATATTTCGCTCAGTAAATGTAGTTTGACGTGCTTCAATATAGAGCTTGGTAAATACTCTGCGGTTGAGTGTTGCAAGGCCTGTTAGTGCAAATCTTTGTACTAATTGGCCATATGCTGCTTTGAGAGGCGAAAAGGGTCCTAAATCGAGTGGTTGAAGCTTATGAGAGGCATGAGCTGGTAGATAGAGTGGATGGATGTCGTTTTGAAGGCAGAGATACTGAAATAGGCCTGTAGAATGACTGTCATGGCCATCAAGAATCAGAATAGAATGCTTGCCTATAGGCCTCTGTGGAATAAATATCCGCCTTAGCCAATCAATACCAAGCTCATTATCAGTCCATCCCTTTAGAGAGAAGGCCCAAATAATGTCAGGTAGCTCATCAATAGCAGGGAACATATGTAGCTCTGGTG